CCTTCATCCAAGGGCAGTATGTTTTTTATTATACTGAATGCCTTATGATTCAAGTGTGCACTATGTTATGAGAAGGACAATTGTAAAAAAATAAAGTCATAAATTAAGATAGTTTACTGTAATGACTTTAATTGCTCGTAACGTAACGTTATACTTTAGTGTTCCGTATGTAACGTCACATCCTTGGTTACTTTGTTATGCTTTCTTATATATAGATTCTAATATACATTCCTCTGTCATTTTTTGTTGTCTAAGTTATTTCAATAACAACAACAAAACGACGGAAATGATGTAGAAATAAGAAATGGTAATCCTCAGCCGTAGCGGGTGTTAATTGTTCCGAATTGGCAAACCTCATGCTCAGGCAGGAGTTAATTTTAAGCAATAACACCTGTTGCTAATATTATCACATGTTGTTATGGGTGACTGGGGCTTATGAAAGGTTAGTGAAAAATAACAAATGCCGCATGTCCAATGAAATGAATGGATGATATAAGGATTTGGCATAAAGTATAATAAAACAAATTACTACCTTCATCTGGTACGCTAAATGCCCAATGTGTGACTGTGCATATTATCAATATGTGAGATTTTTAACCTTGGATTCGTGCAAGTTCTGACAAGTTGATTTTCTTGCAACTTGTCCAAATGGACAAGTTAGAAAAATTGATAATGTAGAGGCCTCAGCTGTATCATGATTTTTAGGCAGTTAAGCTGCCTTATGCGAGCACCCTAGATTTGTGTTCTACCCAATAAATGCTGAAATACGTGCCATTGTTATTATCTAGCTGGCTATTATGTTATTTATAACTAATTGGACATTTTTTTGATACTTTTATTTCTGGAATACAAAAAATATAACCCGAAAAACCTTAAATAATCGTCGAACTACCCAAAACTTTTGAAGTTGCACATAGGAAGCTTAAGTAGTGCTCATAAGAAATCCGTACCTAGTTTATTATCCCCTGTGCTTTTGGCTACGATGTCAAAGAACAATTGTATGAAATATTTCATCGCCGAAAATCGGTAATTATAAGCCATTTATATTTCCCAAATGGCAAAATGCGCAGGAATATTGTTCATATACAACAAATCTCAATGATAGAGGAAATAAAGTTATATAAGTGGGCGGTAATTTTTAACTTATCTTGCCATATAAGGTTGTTGTTATTTTATGAATGAAACGAGGTCATGAAACAGATGCGGAAATCGACGTTGATGGGATGTTTGAAGTAATCTGGACAACTCGTACCCGAGACAAGTCGGACGGAAACCACTCAAACCATCTAAGAAGACAACTTTGACCGTTTGTCAGATTTACTTAGGGTTTCATAAAATATTAGACTAACATGTCTAGCGGAGCCATTAATCTTTTGTTTGTGCATTGGGGTCTATTTAGGGGTATTTAGAGGGGCCTGAAGAAGGGAGGGGTCTACTATAGAACCCTATGGGATTTTATTTTTTTTAATTTTCAAATGACTATTTCTCGAAAACAGTAAGTGATAGACACATGCAGTCTTCAGTAATGAGAACAGGACAATAAAAAAAATTATCCAAAATATAGGGTGAGTCCCTGGGGGTCATCCCAACCCCCTTCAATTTGAAAATGTACTTTTATCTTGTAAACCGTCGCGATCCCCACCCCTAAACAATATATATACTTGGATGGGACAATAAAAGAAATCAAATGAAAATAATTTGGGGGAGTCCCTAATGTGGTCCCACCCCATCCTGTTTGAGAACTTGGAAATGGTCGAAATCCCCACCCCTAAACCATATATATTCCTGTATGGGACAATAAAACAAATCAAATGAAATATAGTGGGAGTCCCTGGGGTCACCCCACCCCCTCCTCTTTGAGAACTTGTAAACGGTCGAGATCCCCACCCTAAACCATATATATTCATGTATGGGACAATATAACAAATCAAATGAAATATATGGGGAGTTCCTTGGGTCACCCCACCCCCTCCTGTTTAAGAACTTGGAAATGGTCGAGATCCCCACCCCTAAACCATATATATTCATGTATGGGACAATAAAACAAATCAAATGAAATATAGGGGGAGTCCATGGGGACACCCCACCCCCTCTTGTTTGAGAACTTGTAAACAGTCAAGATCCCCGCCCCTAAACCATATTTATTCATGTATGGGACAATATAACAAATCAAATGAAATATTTGGGGAGTCCCTGGGGTCACCCCACCCCCTCCTGTTTGAGGACTTGGACATGGTCGAGATCCCCACCCCTAAACCATATGTATTCATGTATGGGACAATGTAACAAATCAAATGAAAAATAGCGGAGTCCCTGGGGTCACCCCACCCCCTCCTGTTTGAGAACTTGTAAACGGTCGAGATACCCACACCTAAATCATATTTATTCCTGTTCATCGTTTCAAAAAGATTTGAATGACATACAGGTTCAATCTCCTAGGTGTCACCCAGTCAAGGTCGTTAAAAAATTCCATATATATAGGTGTCACATATGAATATCACTTTACTAGACCAAACCAATATGAACTGGACTTTGCCCAATATCAGGAGACCATGGGAATGACGAATTATGGGGGCTTTGTTTGGGAGACTTCGTAACGGCATCCTGTTACAATTATTTCTTGTTTATTATAAAATTTTATTGATGCAAAAAATGAGTCTAGGTTAATTGAATTTACTTTAATTATTTATTAAATTATTTCTGGGCCTATAATAATTTTCATTTATGGCTCATTTTAAAGAAAACATATAAAACTTTCAAGTAGTGTAAAGCCCAAGAATGTTTGACCAACTGTTTTATAATCACCTGTCATTTTATTCCAAACTTGGTATGGAGTAACATCATGCACATGGGGGTGAAGATGGGGGTCATTTACATTGATATATGAATTGCTTTTGAAAACCTTGATGAAATATTAATTAATTTGCCTTAATAATCAATTCATTTAATGAACATAAATGTGCAATATACGAATGTTTAATGTTTGTTCTTTCAAATCTTAAAAAAAAATTGAAACAACACTGCCACAGTTTTCATAATTACGTTTGCCTTGGTTTTTGGTTAACTGTCTACAGCGCTTACAGTGCTTTGATTTTCAGTTGTTGTGAGTTAAAAGGCAACTGTATTCAATGCGTATATAAAATCAGTGAAAGGTATACATGTCTGTCAGACAGGGTTCACCTGATCATGAACTTGATATCAGTTGTATATTTTTTCCATGTTTTTAGTTCAGTTCAATTACACAGTCATGACAACGAATGGAGGTGTTTTCAATTTAATCATTCAGTTAATATATTGATTGATTGGTGATGAACACCACTTTCAGCACTGTTGTTTTGTGGCGGCCAGTTGTTTTTGTAGAGCCTGCGACTTTTGTCGCAGAAAGCTTGACATAGAGATAGTGATCCGGCGGCGGCAGCGTTAGCTAACTTCTTAAAAGCTTTATATTTTAGAAGATGGAAGACCTGGATGCTTCATACTTTGTATATGGATGCCTCATGTTACGAAGTTTCCGTCAGTCACATGTCCAATGTCCTTGACCTCATTTTCATGGTTCAGTGACTACTTGAAAAAAAAGTTCAGATTTTTTGTAATGTTAAATTCTCTCTTATTATAAGTAATAGATTAACTATATTTGGTATGTGCGTACCTTGCAAGGTCCTCATGCCCGTCAGACAGTTTTCACTTGACATCGACCTCATTTCATGGATCAGTGAACAAGGTTAAGTTTTGGTGGTCAAGTCCATATCTCAGATACTATAAGCAATAGGTCTAGTATATTCGGTGTATGGAAGGACTGTAAGGTGTACATGTCCAACTGGCAGGTGTCATCTGACCTTGACCTCATTTTCATGGTTCAGTGGTTATAGTTAAGTTTTTGGTGTTTTGGTCTGTTTTTCTTATTCTGTATGCAATAGGTCTACTATATTTGGTGGATGGAATGATTGTAAGGTGTACATGTCTAGCTGGCAGGTGTCATCTGACCTTGACCTCATTTTCATGGTTCAGTGGTCAAAGTTAAGTTTTTGAGTTTTGGTCTTTTTTTCTAATACTGCATGCAATAGGTCAGCTATATTTGGTGTATGGAATGATTGTAAGGTGTACATGTCTAGCTGGCAGGTGTCATCTTACCTTGACCTCATTTTCATGGTTCAGTGGTCAAAGTTAAGTTTTTGAGTTTTGGTCTTTTTTTCTAATACTATATGCAATAGTTCAACTATATTTGGTGTATGGAAATATTTTATGATCTATATGTCAGTCACACAGGTTTTATTTGACCTTGACCTCATTTTCAAGGTTCATTGCTCAGTGTTAAGTTTTTGTGTTTTCGTCTGTTTTTCTTAAACTATAAGCAATAGGTCAACTTTATTTGTTGTATGGAAGAATTGTTAGCTGTACATGCCTGCCTAGCATGGTTCATCTGACCTTGACCTCATTTTCATGGTTTATTGGTCAATGTTTAGTTTACTTGGTTAATGTTAAGTTTATGTGACAGTTGTAATAAAGCTTTATATTTAGGACTATCAACATAATATCAATGATTAGTAAAGAAGGCGAGACATTTCAGCGTGTGCACTCTTGTTTTATAGACTTTATAAACTGACAATCCTATAGTCAATTAAGATTGGTGTTGAATGCACCTGACACTTGCATGACTTGAACTCACAACCTCAGTGTTGACAAGCTATAGTGATACAGTAGTTGAACATCTTAGACCACTTTGGCACCTAGGCCTGCCAGTTAATAAACATATTGACCTTAAGTTGTAAAGCTTGTTTTTTGTATGTCTTTTATAATCTTGATTAGGATTGCAAGTTTTCCTGCCTAAGGTGTGTATTTCTCTCCCGGGACACTGGCTTCCTCTTTCAGTGAAAACTGACCATCCAGATATAACCAAGAGTGCTGAAAGTATTCAACATAAATGATCAATCAATCGTTTAGAGTCAGTTGTAGGTGAACTTCTACTGTCTCCACAAATATAAAACACTTTTCTTAACTTATTCACTGGCAGTAGTTTTGATTGTCCACCAGGGGCCAACAAAGCACAGGGAACTTCCTGTCTAGATGGGTAAGTTGGATTAATCTTTTTGTTAAATGTTTTGTTACACTTCTGTTGAATATAAAAAATATATAAATGAAGAGATAAGGTATGAGTGCCAATAAGCCAGCTATTCACCAGACTACAATTGATGAGGATGTTAGCAGCTATAAGTCACTGTAAGGTGTCAGACCACCAATTACTCCCTTCAATTTAGAACTATGTAAAAGTAGGCCTACTTGGACAAAAATAGGGCATTTGATGTCATTGTTTACTTAAACTAACCAACAAATTTGCAGAAATGAAACTTTTGGTGAAAGAGAAATATATTAAGACCATTTTGAGCCAAAATTTACTTGTCTATGAGTTTGCATTAAACATTAAGGATTAATGCGCTCCATAGTATACTAATTTAAGATTTCCAGAAAACCAGGGGTTATTTTTAGTGGTGCCTCAGTTCAGGAGGTCTCTTCTTTCTTATAAGATTTTAAAGGTATGATGAAAATTGGCATGTAGAAAGGTGATACCTGTAGGATTCAGGATATACCTGGTTTCTATGAAGTTAAACTTAAGGTAAAATATTAAGAAAGCTGTGAAAATTGCAAAATTTGGTTGAACAGATAGGGATTTTTAATTGGTGGTCTGACACCTTTAATAAAGGTGTCAGACCACCAATTACTCCCTCCAATTTAGAACGTATGTAAAAGTAGGCCTACTCGGACAAAAAATAGTGCATTTGATGTCATTGTTTACTTAAACTATACAACAAATTTGCAGAAATGAAACTTTTGGTGAAAGAGAAATATATTAAGATCATTTTGAGCCAAAATTTACTTGCCTATGAGTTTGCATTAAACATTGAGGATTAATGCGCTCAGTAGTATACTAATTTAAGGGTTCCAGAAAACCAGGGGTTATTTTTAGTGGTACCTCAGTTCGGGAGGTCTCTTCTTTCTTATAAGATTTTAAAGGTATGATGAAAATTGGCATGTAGAAAGGTGATACCTGTAGGATTCAGGATATACCTGATTTCTATGAAGTTAAACTTAAGGTAAAATATTCAGAAAGCTGTGAAAATTGCAAAATTTGGTTGAACAGATAGGGATTTTTAATTGGTGGTCTGACACCTGTAAGGCCTTCAATAGTTAGAGAAACCCCATACCATATAGCCAGCTATAAAAGGTCCTAACGTGACAAAACAATTCAAACAAGAAAACTAATGACTTTTATGACAAAACAATTTAAGAAAAACAAATATGACAGACAGCAACCAATAACTACCAATGAATATTAGGCTCCTAACCTGGGCACACACATACAGAATGTGGTGGAGTTAAACATATCTGAGTGCTTAACCCTCCCCAAACCTGGAATACTGGTGTACAAGCACAAAATAAGAAACTGAAAAAAATAGCTGTAAATTAAGCATATATTTCAGATACAAATCACAGCTTTTTTAAAAAGTATTATGAAAGTATCTTCTTTTTTTAAACAGGTTTGTTCTACATAATATAAAAATAAGGAGATGTGGTATGATTGCCAATGAGACAACTATCCATTAAAGTTCAATTGAATTGGAAGTAAGCAATTATAGGCAACCGTACGGCCTTCAACAATGAGAAAAACCCATACGGTATAGTCTGCTATTAAAGGCCCAGACATGAAAAATATTAAGTAATTCAATTGAGAAAACTAACAGCCTGATTTATAACAAAATGATTTACGAAAAACAAACATGACAGACATGAACAAATGACAACCACTGAACTACAGGCTCCTGACTTTGGACAGGCACATAAAGAATTTGGAGGGGTTAAACATGCTTGGGAAAGCTCAACCCTCCCTCAACCTTAGACAGTGGTGTAACGGCACAACATAAGAACAAACTATAAAAATCAGTTGAAAAAAGCTTAACTCATCAGATCGATACAAAGCAGAAAAAACATCAAACAAAAACACAGACTGAAGGTAGCAGGGTATTTATCCATCCCTCATCCCTAACAACAAAATTTTAAAAGACACTAAGTACAGATTTGAGAGTACTTGCAGTTACTGACAGCTAGTTCAAAGCCAATAACATCAAATTCAAAAAATCATGTATCTAAGACTAGAATATCAATCAATATCAATAAGCATACATAGTATCAAGGGATTGTTTATTTAAAAAGATGTATCAAATCGTTGAAGCAATTTTTAAAGGTAAATGTCTATAGATTATTCTTTAATGCATTAAGAATTAAAGTTACAAATGTTTTCTAAATAGTACCAAATTACACTGCATGTACAGTATTGAAGCATATTAATGAAAGAGGATTTTGGTTTACATATATAATAACCCAACACAAAAAAAAACCACATGCAGAATTACTACTAGATTCAATATTCGAATTTTTTTTTGTGTATCTTGGAAAAGATTTATTTTGTGCAATGTGTCCATGCTTGAAGCTCAATATTCATCATGTTTTGTGCAAATTTGGAAAAAAGCAAGACTAAGCATTTTTTTATTGTTTTGTTCATCCTGAAATGTTCACTTTATTTTCCATGCACAAACCCCTTTTAGGCCCTCCCATAATGTTACTGGGTAGGCAGTAGTTTCTTTTGTGTCTATAATCTTGAACTATATTCAATTTTCTATTTTAGAGGACAGTGTGATGGGTCAGGGAATTGTCAAGCCTATTGTGAAGCCCGTGGTTTACAGTCATGTGTCTGTGGTGATGGTAAGTTTTGTCCACTGTTAATGGTGATCTCAAAAAAGAAAAGGTGAAGGGTGTAGAATATACAACTTCAAATTTTTATTGATATATTGCCTTTTTACTCACTCATATCAACTTTACTTCAGTTGTCCTTATAGGGTTTTAATAGAAAAAAGATAATAATAGAAATAATAATGGTAGTAGTAATGATAATACAAATCATAAATATTCTTCCAGTAATAATAATAATCATAAAAAATTACAAAAATAATATTAATAATAATCATATTAACCATTAAAATTCTATCAGTAATAATATTATAATAATAAGGATAAAAGTTACCAGTATGATTATCTATTTATAGATGGTAACACTATAAAACTAATCCTCCCTGAAGTCTTCTTCCAGAGAAGATACCGAGAACATTTACTACTGTAAACCAACTTATTTTGGCAAAAAACTTATATTTAATATTTGCAACAACTTATATGTGCATTATTTTCTTACTCGCTCACAAAAAAAAGCTGGTTTGCGGCATAGATAATTTGTTAATCTTGTTAATCCACAAATCCTCCTAGAGTACTTTACAGACCAACCAAATTTGCAAAAAAAAATCAACAAAAAATGTTTTGTACATCTGTGGATAGTATTGTAGGCATTCCCTTTGCCATCAGGATTTTTTAAGTGTGGTTTCAAAACACATGGTCTAAGAACACAGTAATTTCATAGCCCATTTCTTTTAGACAATAAATGAAAATTTAAAAATCGCACTTGCGCTGTCTCAATAATAATTTTACAGTGTGGTGTACCACTTTTGGGAAAAATTATATCAAAATTATAGGAAACTTCATCAGCTGGAACTCAAAATATGAACAATTTTATGTTAAGGGAGTCTTGAATCTTTGACAGCTTCAGACATACTAATTTTTTACTTTTTTCAACTGAACAAAATCACTACTTTACTTTAAAATTCATAACTCAAATTTTTTAATGTAATTTCCTCCCCTTACTTGCTATTTGAGGCATAAAACATGAAGAAAATTTGGAAGGGGTATGAAAAAAAGTTGCAAGTAATACACTGTCCACACTAAGTTCGTTACATTAATGTAGATTGATGTCTTTTATGGAGATAGAATTTATTTTCAATCAACTTGATAATTATAACAAGGAAAGTATGTACCGTTATAAGTAGCTATTCATTAACAACAATATATTTGATCAGAGGTCTCAATGGATTTTATATACATATTGTCTATGAGTTATAATTAAAACTGCATGATCTGATTTTCAGAATATAATGGTAATATCGTTTGACATTGAAATTTTGCTTATTGTTGAAGGCCATACCATGTCCTACAGTTGCTAACATCTATGTCATTTGGTCTCTGGTGGATAGTTGTCTCATTGAAAATCATACCACATCGCCTTATTTTAAAATTTTGTCAAAAAAAATTTCAGCTTTTAGTAATTTTAGAAAGTTTTAGTGATACAGGTGGCAACATATTCAAGCTACGAATATGACCATTCGCAAGTATTCTTTTCTTGTATGTCTTTTGAATTGTAAAGTTTAAGTTTGCTCTATCCAATTCACATGGCTGAAATAAGAAAACAATGTTTATGGTGTTTATCAATTGTTTGTATATAGTTTGCAGTGTATTTCAAGGATTTATTGGCAACAGGTATAACATAATTCTAATGCTATGTAATATGTAAAGCTGTTTTTGATTGGATGAAGTTTGCTGTCAATTACAGAGTTAACTTTGAGTCAACAACATTGCACAATGTTTATTTAGAACATTTGAAAGTTGTTTTCAATTTAGACTTGTTTATATTTTTTCGTTTGGGCTTGTATTATATTTTCCCTCGGGGTTTATATGAACCGTTCATCCTATTTCGGCTCTTTAAAATTCAAGAGTCTATACTAAATTGAGTTAAAATTATATGGCCTTTCAAATATCGTTTCGATCCCTAACATCACTGAAGAGACATTAATTGTCGAAATCCGGATATGGTGTACAAATTTTTTCACCTCATGTTTGTGGTATACCATCTTTTCCGCAAGTTTATTGTTTTCTGTTTGGTATTAAATTAATATTATTAAGATCCATTTCGTTAAAACTAGTGATAAATTTATTTGGCAATCGCCAATGGCAGTCAGCAGGGTTTAAGAACATCAGTTGTTCGACTTGTTATTCTAATGCGTTTTGTTCAAATATACTTTTTCACTTTTTGGTCTTTTGGAAAATGTTGTTTGTGCTGGATTTAGACCCCTCTACAAAGAAATTTGTTTTACATGCACATGTATAAAAATTGCGGTTTTTATTCAACGCAATCATAGGTTTGAACGTTGTTTTCAATTTAGCTTGTTTATATATATATATACAGTCCGCCAAAAGTTAAGCACCACCTATCTTTGTTGCATTGAAATTTTTTTTCATTTAAAAAAAAACAGTTAATCCTCGAAAAGGAGAAAATATTCATGTAGCAATTTTGCTAGCATATGCCATAAACAAACCATAAACTTAAGTTTGGTCACTGAAGCAGGTTCGATGCATTTGAATTTTGCGTTCATAGAAATAGTGAAAATTACACAAATCAGAAACGGAATTTAAGTTTTACTTTGATTTTATTTTTTTACAACAATTAATCACCCAAAATCATTAAAAGTCTCTACAAATAATCTTTGGTATGTTCGGCAAATTTAATGTCAATATTTAAGTCAATAGGATGTGTAATCACCTCTCTTCCGGTACAGTTCCACAACACGGCGTCTCATACTCTGTACAAGCCTTCTGAACTTTAGTTGAGCAAATTTATTCAATTCATCAACAATTGCCCCTCTTAAATCGCCAAGATTTTGCAAAGGTGGATCTCTGTGATTGAGATTTCTGCCAATGGCATCCCAGACATGTTCGATAGTGTTCAGGTCTGGAGACATGGAAGGCCAAAAGATAGTGTCAATGGCTTCTTGATCTTTGTAATCGGTTACAATCCTTGCCCTGTGTGGTCTTGCGTTGTCGTCCATGTACGAGGGTCTTGACGCAAGTTGGGGATTCTCAAAATGAGGGACTACAATGTTTCTAAGCACCAAATCCCTGTATGTCTGTCTGTTCATGTTACCCTGCAAAATATGCATACCCAGCTTACAACAGTATGAGAAGAAACCCCAGACTGTAACACCACCATCAACTATTGCTGTCGTTGGGCAATTGTTGTTTTGGTGATAGGCAGTTTTATTTCCCCGCCAAACTCGTATTCTGCCGTCTATTGCTCGTAACACTAACAGAAATCAACTCTCATCTGACCAATATATATTTTGCCAGGTTCTCATGTTCCATCGTCGATGGTCATTAGCCCTTTGAAACCTGGTTATACGGTGCCTGGCTGTTAGGGCACGTCTTTTGACAACACGACGTGCTCTTAGGTAGCCTCTATGAAGTCTACGGACCAATGTTCAAACACTAACATGACCACCTGGAGGCCAGTGGTGTCTAAGCTATGGGGCAGGAGTAAATGGGTTGGCTTTAGCACGACCAATAAGTAGTCTGTCATCACGATAGGTAGTTAAACGGGGTCTTCCTGACCTTGGTCTATCATTTACAGTTCCTTTGTCAATATGACGTTGTAAAAATCTGACAATGACGGTGCGATTAACGTTGAAATGGTTACCAATGCTCCTAGTGCTCCTACCGGCATTTGACATGTCAATTGTATGTCAACGTTCAGTCACAGATAATTTACCGCTTACCATATTGCACAGTGACTTGGTGAAGGTCAAATTTCACCTGTACGCGGGACATGAGGAAGATGATTTAAAGGCATCGAAACAGTTTATTTGTAAAAGTGCAGATGACCTTTAATAAAAGGTTGCTTGACGGGTATATCAGAGTTTAATTTTTTTGGTCGTAATGAATTTTCTTAGTGTATGCGATAGGCAATTCATAACACCAAACATAAATATTTTTTCGCAATAGTTAAAAAAATATTGACAGTTATATTTAGGTGGTGCTTAACTTTTGGTGGACTGAATATATAGTATTGCAGTCAGTAAAACTGCATTAACAACTGTCAACTCTTTAAACACGGTACTGTCATTCCTTAATTTAAAAGAATATGGTGGACATAATTATTCAAAAGGTAGACAACTCTATCTAAGTAATCATTATTAAGTCTGCCAAATTGATATTCAAGGAAACTGCATACAAGATAAAATATTTGTAATCCTGAATTTAAAATGTACTTTGATTAAGTAAAAGTGACATTTATTTCAAAATATAGTCTTTAATATCAAGTTAAGCAGTATTACACCATATAATATAGAGTTTTGGGTAATATCAATCAGTTGTTATGTGTTTTAACCAGTTTCAGAAGTTCTTGAGTTATCAGTGTACCCATTTGATGATACTTTGAATATTTATTTTACCTATTGCATGGAATGATTTGATATTTGATCATGAATTTAATAATGTTGAGTTGTTCCATGTAAGTGATTTATTTTTTTTCAGATCTGTCTCCCTGTCAATTCCTGTCTCATGATATATTTTATGATTTCATCTGAATTTTTCATCAATGTCTAATAATAAGTGGTGGTATCCTTACACGACATGGCGCACAACTCCATGTTTTAAAAGATTTAAATGATGAGAAAGAAAGTAACAAAAATGAAAGCACTTTTACTTAAGAAGTGCATAAAACAGAAATAATTTTATATTAAGTGTTTGTAATTGATACTGAAATATTTTATCATACAGTTGGTGATTCCTGTAAAAGATGCTGCAAAGATACTACAGCAACCAGTCCAACCTGTTCAGCAATAAACCAAACAGCATTCCATCAAGATGGACGACCATGTACTGTTGGATATTGTAAACAGGTATTAATATATACACACTCTACTAGCTATTGTTGGCATGATACGGGTTATGTTCTTCTCATATATTTTATGATGGTATGATACTTAACCTAACTTACCTAACGGGAGGGATTATACTTGATTTTCATATGATGAAGACATAATCTTTTAATCAGTTTGATTGAGGTCTGGAGCTGGCATGTCAGTAACTGCTAGTAGTCCTTTGTTAATTTATGTATCATTGTCATTTTGCTTAGTTTCCTCTGTTACCTATTCTGACATCGGACTCAGACTTCTTTTTAAATGAGTTTTACTGTGCCTATATTGCTGTGTGTTTGTTTATTCTACATTGGCTAGAGGTATAGGGGAGGGTTGAGATCTCACAAACCATGTTTAAACCCGCTGCATTTTTGCGCCTGTCCCAAGTCAGGAGCCTCTTGCCTTTGTTAGTCTTGTATGTTTTTTTAATTTTTGTTCATTTATATTTTTCGGAGTTTAGTGTGACGTCCATTTTCAATGAACTAGTACATATTTTTGTTTAAGGGGTCAGCTGAAGCTCGCCTCCAGGTGCAGGATTTTCTTGCTGTGTTGAAGATCCATTGGTGGCCGTCGGCTGTTTTCTGCTCTTTGGTCGGGTTGTTGTCTCTTTGACACGTTCCCCATTTCCATTCTCAATTTAATATATAGTGGACAAAAGAAATAACATGCATTTTTTCTAAAATTATGATTTAAAAATTTTAAAAATGTACCTCCCCCTCCCCCTGATTTAAAAATGTCCCCCCTCTAATTTTTTGGTTGTAAAATTCATTATGTTATCTGAACAGAAATCTTCACTGAATCTAGTCATGTTGTCATACTCCCCAAACGTCCCACCCCCTCCCCCTCCTTCGATATTTTTAATTTGACATGATAAACCTAGTAGATAAATCAATGATGAAAGAAAATTTTGTTCAGTAGTTTATAATTATTGAAAAGAAGGGTTACAACGTATCAATTTATGACACGAAATTCATATGTCAATAAAGGTGTTACGGTTAAGGAGACACACATGGAATAAGAGGAAATAAACATGTACTTAAATTAATCAGGCTTTCTGCTTATTAGTATTGTACATTATCAACTATTACTCACAATGATGAAGCTTTTTGTGAGTCAGTTGAGCAAATGAGCTAAAAAGGCTTAATATTGTACATTGTCCTTGACTTCATTTTCATGGTTCAGTGACTTAACAAATTAAACTACAATTTATTATTAGTGTGAATTTCCTACTTATTGTCATAAGATAACTTTATATATTGGTATATCTGATCCTTGCAAGGTCTACTTGGTCAATCATATTCTTGTCATTGTTCAGAATTCTGAACATCCATCTTTTTTTTCAAAATATGGGATGGTTTTAAAAGGCTAAGGAAATATAAAGGATATAATTGTTCTGACCATTTTTTATTGCTTTTGATAATGTCAGAGAAGCGAGACTTTGATGTGCTATTTCTGGCATTGGGGGCAACAATTGTTAACAAAATACATGTCGTATATACCAGGTTAACATGAATCTAATGGCACTGTAAATTCAGAAATTATTGTGAGGTTTTTATTATGTTGAATAATGCAACTGGGTGAGTATTGCAATATTAAGAACTAGCATTCTTAAACCTGACACATAAACTTGTATGCTGCTTTTCTTGTAATGGCAATAGTTATTCTCACATTTTGGTGTGCCATGTCAAAATAGTAATAATAAATACATCTCAGTTTGAAGTTCATTTTGATGTGCTGCCCTTTATGTCCAGGTCATGCAACTTTCAATTAATTGGCAATGTTGCTATCTATCAGATTGTCTTTTTCTGAATTTTCAGGTGAGACATATCTCTGTGTCATCAATTTTTTTAAAACTTTGTTCTTAAAGCGTCCAATCAATTAAAAAACTGGAAATATGTATCATTATACTAAGATGCTTTCATAAATTGGTCTATAAATCAAAACATCATTTTATTTCAGGGAACCTGTATAAACTCTGACCCTAGCTACATATCCAGATTCTTTGATTTGATAGATCAAATAAGCTTTGATTTTATTGGTAAGTATATGTAATAAAATAATCAAAAGGTATATTCAATCATAAAATGTGGATCACTTTGACCTATAATTGTTTACTTTTTACACATTGTAACTTGGATGAAGAGTTGTCTCATTGGCACTCATACCACATCTTCTTATTTCTATTAATTATTATTCATGGGTACTAATTTTGGTTGATTTCATGGCTGAAGATTAACCACAAATTTAAGTGTTCAAAGGATTACAAATTTCTTGTAGGCTTGTTTCCAGAATTTGTCAAAAGTGTAAAATCAAGTATATATAAAAAAATGCAATTTTTCCTCTATCAACAAATATAATTTGTAATTACAAAAAATAAATGAATGAGGAGTGAACAAATTTCTTTTTCTCCGCCGTGGTCCCCTTATCTAAGAGCACATGCATTTACATGGAAACAGCTGTTTGTAATTATACACTATAACTAAGGCTGACATGAAAATATAACAAACTTCTATGAAATTATATTTACTCAATACTGTTCATTTTTGGCAGTAATTAATAGTTTAGGAGTTCTTAGTACGTTTGGGCCAACTACTGTTGATTTGTGCAATACAAAAGACTTTTTTTTTTATAGTTTATTGATTGTTAAACTTAGTATTGCAACACATGAAGTTAGTGTTGTGACGCTTGCTACACAAAATTCCTTTCTGATTGATTCCTTAATATTGTGACCATCTGCAGTAGTAATGGGTTTATTTTTTTTTTTTTTTTTGAACAATTTAACAATTTTTAATGTTAAGTTTTCTGCTTAAGTTACCGATAGTTTGATAGGAAATACTTGTGATAGATCAAAGATATTTTGTAGAAAGTTACATTACTATCATTATATATCAGTTTGAAGACTATTTTGAGGCCCTGCCCCCTAGGACATGCATGGTCCAGTGATTTTGATTTAATTAGCCATTTTAAATGTTAAGTTTTCTGCTTAAGTTAGTTTGATAGGATCTACTTGTGATAGATCAATGATATTTTGTAGAAAGTTGCATTACTATCATTACATATCATGATCTGTTTGACAACTATTTTTGAGGCCTTACCACTAGATGATGGTCCAGAGACTTTGAATAAATTGGCATTTTCAATGTTAATTTTTCTGCTTAAATCAGTTTGGTAAGAATTAACTACTTGTGATAGACCAATGATATTTTCTATAAAGTTGCATTACAACCATTACTTATCAGTTTGACAACTACTTCAAGGCCATCCCCCTAGGTCATGATCAGGTGAGCCGTAACTTTTAATTAATTAACAATTTTTAATGTTAAGTTTTCTGCTTTATTTAGTTTGATAGGAACTACTTACAATAGACAACAATATTTTCTATAAAGTTACATTGATGTCTGTACATCTCAGTTTGTCAACCATTAATTATATTTCAAGGTGTGGCCCACTAGTTGGTCCAACGACTTTGAATTAATTAGCAATGTTGCTGTCCATCAGATTGTCTTTTTCAGAGTTTAATTATGCTGACAGGCAAGACATATATCTGTGTCAACAGTTGATTTCTGTTTTTAGTTTAAAACCTATTACAATATATACAACTCTTTACTGCTTTAAAGCTTTGAATAGGATATATTCTGTATATTCTGTACATTTTTATATTTTTGTATTTTTTTTCAACAGCTGAAGCATTTAAAACAAACATGGTAGCATTTATACAGGTATTCTCTTTGCTTATCTGGGTACCTCTCAGCTGTGTAGTTTGGTGTAGGGTAAGTATAATCACTTCCAATTATTATGCAAAGAAAATAAGTTACAGTCAAACCTGCTGTAATGGTCACCTCTGATCAGTTCACTATGTTCTTTATTGATCCTAAAAGGTTTAAAGGACATTCACCCATATTTATGATCATGTCACAAATACGTGCTTTTTTTAAATGTTTTGTTTGTAATAAGATATAAAAGCTCAATAGAGCTTATGTTTTCTGTATACTGATATTCCTCTATAAATTTCAGCTTTTGAACTTGAAAGTCACATTTGATGCTATTTGAAAAACTTGAACAATTGGACATTTTAACGTATTCTGTTTTCATTAAATTTTCACCAATGAAAATTGTAAAGAAACATTGTTACTAAATATCCATTAGCATTTATTAAATCAGAGGTGATTGCTCTGTCTGCCTACTCTTCTGTTCAAATACTGACAGCCATATTGTATTCACTTCTACTGTGAATAAGCCTCTGAAGGAAAAAAGCTCCTCAAAATACGATAATTTTGTTCCAAGAAAGATAACTCAATTATTATTTTTCCTAGTACTAAAAGACCTGTATCAGATCTGTCTCCATCCATCTCAATTTAGGATATAAAGGCTTAGTGCAGAGATATGAGGGTCTCAAATTAGAGGGAGGGCCTCCATTTCTGTGTACTTTATATTTTTAGGCCAATTTGCTCTATTAATTTGCCAATAATTCTCTAATTTTTATATAATGTAGCACCCATAAATTTTTTTGTTATATATTTATTTGTATACAAATAATTGGAAGTGCACATTAAATATGTTTTTTTTTATGTATTTAAGCTCATGCAATAGCTGCTCAAGTGTTTTTATATAAGCGTTAGTCCTAAGCGTTAGTGAGGTGTAAAATATGGTCAAATATAATGCCTACCCATGTTAAAATGAGCCTTAAGCATGACATGAAAGAATTTTTTTGATTCTGATAGGACAAAAACAATATTTGTATAGGTCCAAGCATACAAAAAGACCTTAGGAATGTTCGGCTGTTCCTGTTTCCTCCCCATGAATTATGCACATAATATTTTCATATTTAATAAGTTAAAAAACTAAAAGCAGGGTAAATATATGTTTTTTTTATAACAATATACAATAAAACTTTATGTAAGCAGCTAAAAATATATATTTTTTATAAAAACAAAAATGAAAATAACAAGAATGCAAGAACAGTGCACATTTGTCAAACATATTTTATGCTAATTAGAACAAGGCTTTGTTTACAAAGCGAAATAAATACGTCATACTGTAAATTCAGAAATTATTGCGAGGTTTTTATTGATGCGAATAATGAGACTTGGTGACTATCGCAATAATAAGGACTCGCATTCTGAAATCTGATTCATATATCTGTATGGAGATGTTTCTGAAATCTCAATTATTAATCTCACATTTTTGTTGATTTCTCAAATATCGCAATAATGAATGCACGCAATAATTTCTGAATTTACAGTTACTGTATTAGAATGTATATTTAAATGTTGACATGATACTCAAATATCCTATTATATATATATATATGTTTATCAGAGTTTGATTCATCTTTGGTTTTTATTTTCAGGACAAAAGAAGTCAAAAATGGTCTAGAAATGAATTAAACATTAAAAAAAGAGAAGTAAGTTTTGACAGACTACTTATCTTCTTTTATAAATAACTAATAGCTCATAATAATATTTGTTAAAAAGAATCCATGTTTTAAGTATACTGTAAATATACAAACAAAAGATGTTGGGTGTAGGTTTTCATAGACCAAACAACTGAAAAAAATAAGAAGACATGTAGATATCAACACAAGATTATTTTAAACATTCAAAGATGCTTTTAGGGTCTTATGGTATATATATTTATTATTCTCCTACTCTGAAGAAGGGGTACTTAGTATGTCTCTCAGTCTGTTCCATGAAATTTACATTGCATTTTTCTCAGGAACTACAAATCAAAATTTCCTTGAATTTGGTATGAAGCTTAATTCATGTGAGCATGCTATACTTGTGATGTATTTTTGTCGAGCCTTCGACTTTAGTCGAAAAAGCGAGACATAGCGATCCTACATTCCGTCGTCGTTGTCGGCGGCGGCGTCCACAAATATTCACTCTGTGGTTAAAGTTTTTGAAATTTTAATAACTTTCTTAAACTATCCTGGATTTCTACCAAACTTGGACAGAAGCTTGTTTATGATCATAAGATAGTATCCAGAAGTAAATTTTTTAAAAATAAAATTGCATTTTTTCCGTATTTTACTTATAAATGGACTTAGTTTTTCTGCCGGGAAATATTACATTCACTCTGTGGTTAAAGTTTTTAAAATTTTAATAACTTTCTTAAACTATCCTGGGTTTGTACCAAACTTGGACAGAAGCTTGTTTATGATCATAAGATAGTATCCAGAAGTAAATTTTGTAAAAAAATAAATCCATTTTTTCCTTATTTTATTTTTAAATGGACTTAGATTTTCTGCCAGGAAACAACACATTCACTCTGTGGTTAAAGTTTTTAAAATTTTAATAACTTTCTTATACTATTTTGGATTTGTACCAAACTTGGACAGAAGCTTGTTTATGATCAAAAGCTAGAATCTAGAAGGAAATTTTGTAAAAAAAAAATCCATTTTTTCTGTATTTTACTTTTAAATGGACTTGGATTTTCTGCCAGGAAACAACGGTTAAAGTTTTTAAAATTTTAATAACTTTCTTATACTATTTTGGATTTGTACCAAACTTGGACAGAAGCTTGTTTATGATCAAATGCTAGTATCTAGAAGGAAATTTTGTTTTCTTCCAGTTAACATTACATTCAGTCTGCAGTTAAAGTTTTTAAACATTTATTAGATTCATAAACTATCCTGGATTTTTACCAAACTTGGACAGAAGCTTCTTACAATCAAAAGATAGTATCAAGTGGAATATTTTTATTGATTTACTTCCTCATTTTTGTTGAGCCTGCGATTAACAGAAAAAGTAGGCGAGACACTGGGTTCCGCGGAACCCTTACGAATTTTTACTTTGATTGTCCAGGATATGCATGAAATATTTGCCACTAGATGTTAAGCAAACATCAATCAATCAATACATTCCTCGCTCATCAACTTCCTGTTTGCCGAATATTGTTATATTCTTATACATGATGTACAGTGGCGGATCCAGATGGGGGTGTAGAGGGCGTACGCCCCCCCTTTTGCTTGCACTTTTTTTTTTTTTTTTTTGTAAAATGATTAATCAGACTAGACTCCGTGAACTTTGCGATTTCCCATGTATCTGAGTAGTCTCAGCGTGTATTTAATTTTTATGCAACAATTCTTTACTTATAAAGATATTGGTTGCTCGTGTTTACTGTAATATATTATTGATTATGTCAAAGTCGTGATTCTCTACGGTGGAGTTGACCAGTTCATCGCAAAAAACGTCACTCAGTCATTTTGAAATTCAAATTACAGTAACACATTGATTAGGCTGAGGATGACAAGCATGACGCCTTCAAAGCGACAAAGTATTGAGCAAGAACGTATTGACTTCTATTTCACAATTCAACCCAACAGAAAGTAATACTCTATTACACTCTCATGAAAAAAAAAGTTCCTCAGCAATATTATTTACCTACGAAAACATGTTTAACCCCACACGCCCCAGCCCATTAATAACATTGTTGAATAGTGATCCCCAGTCAATAAGCTCTAGATATAGATTTAAAGTCTAAGGTACGGACCATGACCTGAGGGGGCAGTCTGAGATATTTTAGAGAAAAAATTCTGACCCTGATCTGTGACCATTATACTAACACATAATATAGTCCCAGCCCTGATTTTTGCCTTAAACAAAAATTCTGGCCGTATCTGGATTGAAAACAATAATCTTGTCCACTTTTTTGCTATTAGAAAAAAATATTTTTAACAGAATTATATAGCATTAAATGAACATGATGAATGAAAAACGGGCGTAATTTTTTTGGGGGGGGGTTGCATGTGAATCCCATATTTGACCGGAATGTCTGTTTCGCCGAGCTGATATACTGATTACCTTTTTCAAGGCCCGACTGCAACCTGCCTGCTGGGTGTGGCCTATATGTCTCCATGTGTCGACAGTCATTCACAACTTCATTGTCATTTCTGACTCATTCGTAGCCTTTGGTTGATTTGGAACCCCGGCCTCACTTCCCTTGTTGGGTGAAACATTTCAACCAAACATTTGGACAAAAATTGCTTGTTTGTCTTTCTTCGTGTCGGTCATATTGAAAATTTCATTGAATAGCCGTATATCTTGTTTACAACAAGAAATCTGTGAGGTTATGCTAACTAACCATACAACAAACAAGAATTTTCCATGTCCATTTTTTACTGACAAATCCCACATCAAATATATTAATTAGTACATAGCTTTGGATTCATCCAATCATTTCATAACAGACAATTGATGAAGAGAATACGGCACCAAAAATATCTTACCCCTACACTTTAACTATAAAATGCATTTTACACATATTTTATGTTTTTTAGCCAAAAAAAGTTTTTCGCCTCGCTCTGCTTGGCAAACTTTAATACTACGCCCCCCCCCCCCCCCCCCCCCCCCCCTCCTTTCCAAAACCCTGGATCCGCCCCTGATGTATGAAATTTTCGTTGCATTTTTCTTTGAACTAGCATTATAACTTTCTGTGTATCAAGCTTCATTTGAGCATACTAAACTGTGTGATGTGTTTACACATCCATACCTACCCACTTCCTGTTTACCAAATACTTTAAGTGGGGTATAGTTACTCATAGTTCAACTTTGCTTTACATGGGTTGACTTTTTTGAATCCTTTCAAATTGATGTCTATTTTGTACATAAGGCTGTGACAACTAAAACAGATCGAAAAGTGAAAAAGAAATTATGAGCCAAAACATTAACATTTCATTTTGCTGTCATGATTATCAAATGACTTTTATTTTTTTAACTAGGCCAGAGTTATACAGGCTATTTTTCAGACCCATTTAGTTTCAATCTATGATACTTTTAAATAAAAAGGGGGATGTTGAGACAGCATCTCTTCAATGCAATGAAACCAGACTTGAGAAAATATAAAATTTTAATGACAACAATTTAAATCTATGTCAATTCAACAAGAATTTTTCAAAGTTTTTTTTTTATATTACAGAACAGAAATTTGATGGTAGACCAAGATGGCCGTCCTATCAAAAGACCAGCAAAAAAGCCACGTTCTGATAATCCTTACCTGTCCATGGAGCCACGGTCGCTCTCTGGAAGACCTTACAGCAGTCATGCTCTGAGCAATAAACCAGGAAAATCTCAGAAAAACAAGGTGAAACCCAACAGAAGAAGAAGAGATGAGAACCATTTAAGCATGTCAAGAGAGTTAGATGGTGATAGTGTAGCATAAACAGAGGGGTGGTTTGAGATCAGAAGAGTTGAACATATAATTAGCTCTGGAGCAATGTATGAAATTGTAGTACAGTAAAACCTGGTATAAAAGTCACCTTCATTTTGCCAAAAGCTGTTTTTGTCAGGTCACCCTCTTCTTATTCCACTGTATGAATACCTGTGCATTTTAAACCTCAACTCAATAGCCACCTCTCTTATAAGGTCACTAAACTATTGTACTTAGAGGTTGACCTTTATATACAGGTTTGACTTTATTGTAGTTTTATTCCTATCTTTAGATAGGAAAAATTCTTCCTTAAATCCACACCTGAAAACAAACTATTGGATGTCCATTAATTTTCATTTCTCAAGCCCTGTCTTCTTGGCTTAAAAGTGTCAAATGGGTTTGTTTCAAAGTTTTATAATTATTTATTTGCATCTTTTTTTTTACCAAAGGAAAAATTCATGTTGATGCTGTTTGAAAAATTCTACAGTTTCGTTTTGCAACTTTGTTTAAATGGAATAAACAAAAACAGTGTTTTCATTCCAGAGTTATTGCCCCTGATTTTCTAATCATATGATTTGAGGTCTCTTAATTTATCTATTAAGGTGAAATGGAGATCTCTGGAATCAAGAACATTTAGTTTAAACATAGACAAAGGAAATAGGATTTAATTATATAGTAGAATGCTTTTTTTAATGAATTAGTAGTTCATATTGTGTATTTGGATTTTTAGTTTTTGCCTCCTTGTAATATTTTGCATTTTTTATTTACATATTTTTTATACATCTGAGGCTTTTGTTAATTCTTTTGAAATTTAATCAACAAATTTGTTCAGCCCTATGTATATCAGAACAGACAAAGTAAATATCTCTTATCGCATTTTGATTTTTTGACATTTGGATTAAAATATTTCATAAAGATATCATGGTATTCACAACTATTTCAATATGATGTCATTTGTATGTGTACATTTTGTAGTCCTTGACAAACTATTCTAATTCATTTATAATTTTTTTTTTATCAAATAAATTGATTTATAAGGGAGTATTTTGAAATTACTACAAGACAAGGAACATAACTATATACATTTTGTTTTTGTATTTGAAAACTGTGTATGCAAATTTACCCAAGACTGTTGTAACAGACATTAATTAACAGTTTGTTTGACACCCAAGTTGTCAAGTGAAGCATTTCAATTGTTTGTCCAAATTAATTTGGCTGAATTTAAAGGAGTGGGTTCGATAAGACCCTAAAATGGCCCCTATTTCTAGCTATAGTTTCAAATTAGGATCTATTGACCAAAATCACAATGAATCATAGCCAATACAATGACTAGATAGGAAATATGAAATTTTGTTAAAAATTTACATACATGCTATCTATTCATGACGTCACAAATAGGACTTATTTTGATTTTCAACAACAATTCAATGAATACAGGTAAATTTCTATTCATTATTTGGACAGGAAACACCAATTGCAAGTGCATGCATCTACAAAAAAGATTTTCTTACATGATATTTGTTATAACATTTTACATATCTGACTTGAATATTTAGTTTGTCGACACCTGCTCTCTATGTTTCCTAGGTCTTAAGTTGGTTGAAATTTGAACAATTTAAAAATTCACAAAAATCTCTATTTTTGGCCTATTTTGGATGTAAAAATCCACACTTTAAAATAAAACTTGGACAAAAAAAGTTCTATTGAACTTTCTTACATGTCTTTTCATCACCTTAGAACATTTATTTTTTTTTTATCTTGAACATTTAATTCAATAATTGGGGCCAAATAAGGCCCATACTGAACTTACTCCTTTGCTAACAAACTTTCTTTTCATGGCCTTATCTAATTTGGTATGTATTGGTATGCTTAATAGTGCTAAACATATATTTGTCCCACATGTTTAAATCAGTGGTGGATCCAGGGGAGGGGTTCCGGGGGTTCAAATCCCCCTTTTTTTTGACGATCAATGCATTTGAATGGGGACATATAGTTGGAACCCCCTCTTTTTCCTGGGTTAGGAACCCCCCCTTTTATAAATGGCTGGATCCGCCCCTGTAAATTACTTTGGTATTCAGTCTTACCCTTGTTTTTCTATACTTTCCAAATTGCAAATGATATTCTTTGGTCATGCTAGCATTTATCAGTGTTTATTGTTCTGTTTTTGTTTATGTACTTGAACCATGTGTTGTTACATATATAATTTGTGTTTATCTAGTTTATCTTATTAATATACTAAATGGAATAATAACCCATGGTCCACTCAGTAGCAAACATTTATGCCAGACAACAGCCCATGGAATAGCATAAATTTAAGCCAGAAGTAGTTTTTTTCTTTTTTCAACACTTGCAATTTTGTATATATCAATAGACAAAGTAGCCAATGAACTTAAAAACATTTAAATTTTCTACTGTACATGTGCCTGAGGCTATTTGTATAGTGATATATATATATGTGTGTATTGTTTTTTTGTTTGTTTTTTTATTTAATAGCTTTTACCCATCCATGTCTTTATTTTGTTATTTTTCTGACACATTGTAGAGGGCCAAAAGATCTTTTTTTGGAACATCCGGATTAGGCCTTTATGTTTGAGGGAATTCAGGATTTAAACCTTTCGGACTCTGAAATTGAAGATTTATTTTTCAGGATCTGGGAAAGACATTTTTTTTAGGGAATTCGGGATGACACCCCCTCCTACCCCCCCCCCCCCCCCCCCCCCCCCCCCCCCCCCCCCCCCTTCATTGCATACTGCTTGTCTTGTTTGTTTATTTTATTAATATTTGTTTATATTTTTTGATATTTTACAAGTGCATAATAGATATTGAAATATTAAGATTTTGTTAAATGAACAAGAGTCTGTAAATATTTCCTTATTTTAAAATAGAGCTCAATGATCTAATCAAAATGTGATAGAAATAAAACTATTTTTTTTCACAATTTTTTATTATTTATAGCTAATGATGTAACTTAAACAGATTTGCAATAGAAATACTCATAGCCTGACATTTTTAGGGTAATATTTTTTTTTACATAATTGTTGTCTAGATTTATTGAAACATTTCCCCACCCTATAAAGTCTTTTTTTAAAAATAATATTTCCTATATTTATGATTAAGTTTCAATATACAGCTTTGGGTTTTCTCTCTCTCTGACATTTTTTGAATTTGTAGTTTTAAGTGAGAAATTCTGTTTCGGTACATGTTATTCAAGCCATTACATTTCTTATCTTCTGAAAATAAAAGAAAACTATCAAAAGAGAAGTAATTTTTACTGATCTTTTCTTTCAAAACAAAATACTTCTTTGTGATACAAAATAAAAGTCATAATAAGCATACATGTTTAATTGTTATGTATAGTTCCGTCCAAATATAATTTATTTGTTCTCTTGTATTTTGATACATTTTTTAATGCAAAATATGTATATTTACATAATTTTTTGAACGTTTATATTGTTAGATGTTGTCTGTTTAATATTTTGTTATCTACATACATATCTTAACCTTTATATTTTCCAAACTCTTGAGATTGTTTACTCTAGTGCACTGCTTAGAGCAGGGAGCAGTCCTATCAAATGAAGAAAATTATTTTGTTTAACAGATGAATTTTATATATATGTAAACTTTTTTGTAATAATTTGTAGTAATAAAATTAATTTATAGTACAATCATGTCTTTTATGTTAATTTTACATGCCTATTGTGCTCCTTGCTACTATAAATTCAGAAATAATTGCATGCATTTTTTATTGCGATTTTTGAAGAATGAACAAAATCACAAGTTGATTTATTGCGATTTTTCGGAAAAGCTACATACAGATATATGTATCAGGAGTTAGTTTCACAAAAAAACTTACGACTAAGATTGATCGTAAGTCATGAACAATTCAGTATACTTACGATCAATCTTAGTTGTAAGTTTTTTTGTGAAACCCGCTTCTGATACCAGAATTCGAGTTCTTACTATTGTGATACTCAAGTAGCCAAATTCTTCGCTTTATAAAAAACCTTGCAATAATTTTTGAATTTACAGTATTTATCTCCATAAGAAAATCACTACTCTTGTAAAACATTATGCAGAACCTAGATTGAACTAAGAAAACAGGAGGAACACTCTAATAAGGACATATGACAATTTTTATTAATTTTTTGCATTTTTATCAATTATCTTGAGAACTTTTATAGTAGACAGATAGAAAGTGTAAATAGCAAACATGATCAGCATGACATGATTTACAAATCTGTCAACATATTAGAAATCGTAGGTCAACTCTCTATAGGATTCATTGCCCTTAAACAACCATATTTAACAATTTTAGGGTTTTTGCCTACTATCTTGAAAAATTAAATAGATGGAAACTTTTCCCTTGTGATGTCAAAATTTTAAAGGAACGACTGTGATGTCCAAATTTGACAAATAGCCATGGTACTGATAAGGTCTATTCTAATGAGGGCCACAAGCTATACTGTAGTCGTATAGGAAATACAATGAGCAAAACACATTATCCAAAGCAAACAGGTTGTCAAGGACCATTCAATACACAAAAAGGGTGTAAAAAGCTGTAAGGATAAAAATAGCACTGAGCGTATTTATATGATTTATTTGACTATTTTATGGGGGTAGGGATACATCATCATCATATTCACATGAATTCACCACTACAGTGTATTTGATATTTATTTCAGCATGGCTTTCTTTGATTTAAAGAGAGAGAGAGAGATATCCTTTCCCGTCCATCCGTCCCTGAAATACACACCGACATAGGTTGTATCTCTAATTGTTGTGCTCGACATATTCACTGTGTCTAAACTACCAAAATGACAAATTGAGCGAACCTTGCCTCGAATTTGTTTTAATTTCTCCTTAAATTGTTCACATGGTACGGAAAGAGACATTGCAAAACTTGTCAATTTGAGCACCTCAATACTTGTATTTCTGCGTATGGAACGAAAGAAATGGGTCATGTCAAAATGGAAGCGCCCGGTTTTGTCAATGTGTACAACCCGGTTTTGTCAAAGAAAAAAAATGCATAATCGCATAACATAATTGAACTTCAGCAATTAAAAGGAGTTTGGTGGCTGGTTGAAAAACAATTTCGTACAGAGGACAACCCTTTATTTATTTGAATCTGTAAACACTTGAATTTCTACTTTATTGGAACAAAAAAAATTATAATTTTATTTTGCTTTGCATTAAAAAAAAAAATACTCTAACTGCGAAATAGATAGAAATGAAGGTTAAATCGCAAATTGAGTTTTAAGCTCTCTATACGTTTTTAAGCTCACCTGGCCCGAAGGTCCAAGTGAGTTTTTCTCATCACTTGGCGTCCATCGTCCGTCGTCGTTGTCTTCGGCGGAGTCGTCATTAGTTTCTTACAAAAATCTTCTCCTCTGAAACCACTGGGCAATAATTTAACCAAACTTGGCCACAATCATCATTAGGGTATCTAGTTTAAAAAATGTGTCCGATGACCCAGCCAACCAACCAAGATGGCCGCCATGGCTAAAAATAGAACATAGGGGTAAAATGTAGATTTTGGCTTATATCTCTGAAACCAAAGCATTTAGAGTAAATCTGACTAGGGTAAACTGATTATCAGGTCAAGATCTATCTGCCCTGAAATTTTCAGACAAATCTGACAACCTGTTGTTGGGTTGCTGCCCCTGAATTGGTAATTTTAAGGAAATTTTGCAGTATTTGGTTATCTTGAATATTATTATAGATAGAGATAAACTGTAAACAGCAATAATGTTCAGCAAAGTATGATCTACAAATAAGTTGTCATGACCAAAATTGTCAGTCAACCCCTTTAGGAGTTATTGCCCTTAATAGTAAATTTTTAACAATTTTTTGTAAATTTTTGTTATCTTTTACTACTGAGACAAATTTAACCATACTTGGCCATAATCATTATAAGGGTATGTAGTTTAAAAAATTTGTCCGATGACCCCGCCTTCCAACCATCATGGCCGACTTGGTTAAAAATAGAACATAGGGGTAAAATGCAGTTTTTGGTTTATATCTCTGAAACTAAAGCATTTAGAGCAAATCTGACAGGTGGCAAAATTGTTCATCAGATTTAGATTTATCTGCCCTGAAATTTTCAGACGAATCTGACAACCCGTTGTTGGGTTGCTGCCCCTGAGTTAGTAATTTTACAAAAATTTTGCAGTTTTTTGTTATTATCTTAGATATCATTATAATATCTAATATCTAATACTATTAATTATGATTTTAACCTTATTTTACATGATTTCCAAAGCATCAGTAAATACAGGTGAGCGACACAGGCTCTTGAGAGCCTCTAGTTTTTATATGAATTATGTAAATTTTAGTGTTTAAACTTAAAATTAGAGTTTATGGTATTAAAAATTGAAGGACGCACATTTGATATGTGATTTTCTTGCACAACAGGATGGTTATCTTTATAAGTAGTCCAATCTACCTAGGGGTGTAATATTTCCTATGATAGTTTAAAATAAATCTTCTTAAGGCTAAATGTTCATTATAATTAAGGCATGATAATCAGACAAATGTATATGTGCTTGCAGAATTGCCATAGAAAATGAATGTTTATGGTGAGAAAAGGATTACAATAATCATGCATTAAAAATCAAATCTATCTATCCCTAATTGTAACTATAATACTAAGTATAAATTAGTATAATAGTCTCAGGCCATCGAGAAAATGCAATAATGATTAGTTTATTAATTGTTGTATAAATAAACGGTTCTGTTATCTCTCCATTGTGTTATGATTATCGTACATTGACGTTGGTCAATATATTATTGACAATATATAGGGACGGATTCAGGTTTTTTCAAAGTGGGCGTAATTCAAACAGAACAATGTTTTGGACGAATTATGCTAAAAAAAATCTTAAAATTTTTTTTAATTTTTTTGGGCCATCAAAGGTGGGGGTGGGGAGCTTCATATGTCAGAAGTTAGAAGGCCTGATTGCAACATACCTCGCACACAGATCTTTTATGTAACGATGTTATCTGTCATATGTCCATTGCCCTTGACCTCATTTTCATGGTTCAGCGATTTCCTTACAAAATGAATAGTGATAATGGTTGATATCTATGATCAAGGCTAACATTTCGTGTTCAAGTCCGTATCTCTAATACCATAAGTAGTAGGTCTACTATATTTGCTCGTATGGCGCACATGACTATTTAAGTGACCTTGAACTTATTTTTCTTGATTAATTGGTAAATGTTAAGTTTTTTTTTGGTTGGTTTTAATGATTGTAATGTGTTCATGTCCGTCTGGCAGGTTTCATCAGACCTTGACTTTTTTTATGGTTCCATGAACAATGTTCATTTTATGAGATATTTTTATTAAATAATTTATCTTACAGACCTTCAAAATAAATTCGATAACGATCATTCCAGCAGTCGCGAAATGTCAGTGCGTACAGTCAGTCAGGGGTACTACTTGTACAAGTAATCTTAATTTACTTGAAGAAGTAAATAAAATATACTTATATAAGTAAATTATAATGTTTGAATTATCTCCCCTTAATTTTCTAAAAAATTTACTTGTATAAGTAATTTTTTTTTACAATCCCACAAAAATTCTCAAGTTTTGAGATGTAAAAACATGCCTTTAACAATTTTTCTCAGGTAAGCTCATAATTTTTTATTAGAGTTCAATGTTTCATCTCATTAATTCAACAAAGAAACTGATTGCGCAAAGATCTTAAGTATTTGCGCAAGGCCTTCAAAAATTGCCCCTTTGGGGCTTGTAAATGAGCAGTGTTCTGAAGATAACAGACAAATGAGATTTTCATTGTCCATGAAATTATTTTTAAATGATTAGTAAAGACATCTGCAAAGGACAGACAATCAAAAATTCTATTAGAGCAAAGAAGTCCTAAGAATTCAACAAAAGAAGATAGGATGACTTTTTTACTTGTATAAGTAAAAAAATCTGAATGTCAAAGGGACATAACTAAGCCCAATTTTTTTTTACCTATACAAGTAAATAAAATACACTTGTATAAGTTCCTACAAATTTACTTATATAAGTATATTAATATTTACTTCTTCAAGTAAATAAAAATTACTTGTACAAGAAGTACCCCTGACTGACAGTCACTCCTGTATAAATAATACGTAGTATTTATTTTTGTTAAAAAAAACCGCAATTGAAATTTTTTTGCCATGTCTGATTAGTATATCTCGTTCGTGTAAGCCTTAATTATGAAATGTTAGACTTTTTTTTAATTCAAGAACGGTGCAATCTTAGTTGGAATTCTTGGTTGGTTTTAGCTCACATGACCCCAAAGGAAAAGTGAGCTTTTTTCATCACTTGGCCCCCGTCGTCCGTCGTCTTCCGTTAATTTTTTACACAATCTTCTCCTCTGAAATTACTGGGTTACAATACATTTAACATACCTTATCCACAATCTTATGTCGGTTTTAAAAGGTCTAACGAACTTATGTTCAACTGTTTTTCATCATCATTGGGGTATCTAGTTGAAAAAGTTTTTGATGACCCCGCTTGTCAACAAAGATGGCCGACATGGCTTAAAATAGAACATAGGGGGATGCAAGTTTTGTCTATTATTTGAAAACAGCTATAGATAGAGAAAATTTAATAGGGGCAGATATGTTCATAATGTTGAGCTCTACATTTTGTCCATACACATCAAAACTCTCA